CCATTACACGATTAGCACCGTCACGATTCAGTATAAAATATACATTGTAATTATAAAGTTACTTAATCACCTTGTGGATATCTGCTCCATCGCAATAAATTCGCCTTATTTGTATTTTACTATTATTCTCAACAAAGTTTTTTACTTCTTCTTGTATCTGCGCATTTCGCACAATTCTGCCAATGTCAAGTGAATAAATTAATATCTACATGTAAAATTAAAATTTAAGGTTTTGATCAGTTTTTTCTTTTAGCAGTTCAAAAACCGTAGGTCTTCTTCCTTCTTGCTCTTTTATAAATGGCTTATCTGCGCGTTTCGCACAATTCTGCCAATGTCAAGTGAATATATTAATTTCGACATGTAAGGCCATAAGTTTTTTACTTACTCTATGATTCTGAGTACTCAAAGAGAATTGACAACACAATAGATGAATATATTCAATGAGTAAAGTGAGCAGTAAAACTCTGTAGTATTTAAATTCTCTTTGGTAGGTAGTCAACCCCAAGAAGTTTAGATATTCTTAAATCTCCAGGGTTTTAAGCATTTTTTATTAAAAACATTTATCAGTATAGTCATAACTTCTTGGTTAACCCAGTTTCAGTCAGTCAGCACGTCAGACTTTACAAATCTGTCAAATTTCTTCAGTTAATTTTAAAACCTTAACACTTTGATGGTAGAGTTTAAAACCAACTGGAGAACATGTGAACTTTAATCAGAAATCTGATTGAAATATGGCCCTTTTCGTCTAATTTACATGAATTTCATTAACTTTTTCCTAGGTATCGCCTGAAAAGTAGTCTTATCTATACTAATATTACTTAGCTATATTTAGGAAAGTGTAGTTGTTTATCGCTCACTTACGTCTCATTAAAGCATTGTTATGTTATGATTTATAAGACGATTATTTTTTTTGTAGATATAGCTAATTTAGATGATATAGAGTACTTACTTCAAGTCTAACTTACTTTAGGTAATCGGGGAGCCTAAAGTAAGTTAAGCCAAGAGAGCATTAAAAAAATATTTCAGCGACGTTTATACTGCAAGAGCTTAAATTTTTGCAGCGATGCTTCATCACACCTGAATAAGACAAAGCGGTTACGCTTTCCACGTCAGACTCCTATATATGCGGCTAGTACCTATTAAAGTAAAAATGTGAATAGACAACAAACCAAAACCAAATCACAAAATAACCAATTTCCAATTGCAGATGTCTGCGTATAATGTGTATGAATTTTAAAATATCTTTTGTGAGCTTTTTTTTTTAGATAATGATAATTTTGGCGCCCACCTGACTGATGTCCGATACAAGTGCCCACTTACTCCCACCCTAGATCCCGGCATCCCACCCTAAGCAATTGAAACAACTGTTTACTTCATCTATCGAGAGGATCAACTTAATATAAATAAAAATAAGACATACCGATCGTAACAGAGCGACCGGAGTGACCAGAGTGTATCTTATCAATTTGTTTTTTTTCCGTTTTCGAACTGAGAACGGAAAAAAAAAAACAAATCTGTGCTACTCTCTCAGAAACTGCACTAGGTCCATAATCGTCATAATTTTTTAAAGCGGCTTGCGTTGCCTTTTTGCCGTTTTTGGAAAAAGAAAGTTAAAATATATCGAATTTATTCCTTAGATTCACTCAATTTGACAATAAGAAAAACAAATGAAAATCACACATTTTCCTAATTTGAATTCTGTGTTATCTTTTTAAATATTCATACTTTTTAATGATATCGAAACCATCTAGAAACAAATAGTATAGCCAGAAAGATTTTATTACAAATTTATGCATACTATATACAAAAAGACTTTTCCCAACCTAATATTTCTTTGATTAAATGTGTCTACGGAATAACGTTATAACAAATCCCAAATACTTTTTATTTTTAGTTTAGTTCCGAGAGTGGTACAATCAATGAGTTCCAAATAGAAGTATTGTATTTAGAATTGACACCATTATTACTTTTTGTGTCAAGAAATAAGTTGCTTAGTTTTTCACGGGGATTAGTAGTTTCTCGGGGAAGAGCCCATACATGACAATGTCTAACTTTTCAACGATATTCAAACAGATTAATGTAGCTGTGTACTTTTAACTGCCAAAAAAAATCTCAATACCACTTTGGAAATGAGATGATTTTTCGTATTAAAAGTAGTTAAATTAATCTCAAGTCTCCTTTGACGTTTCGTTCGGACGTAATTGGGGGACAAACAAAGAACACACACATTCCCGTTTATAATATTTATAATTTTAATACGCGTTACATACGTTCACGTATGCAACGAAATTTCTATAAAATTTTAAAGCTACTGCATATCGAAATAAAAGAATATCATGCACGTAGATTTTTCTTTCAATATTCACGGTCTACAACACTTCCATTGTCGAAAACCATCGCCCCTCGTGGACGTATGCATCGCGTACCGATCCGCAATGGAATTTTTATATTTGAAACGTGTGTGTAGGACAGGAATTTCGATTTGTAACGCATAATAAGTAGACGACTCTAACTAGCTGTTTTCGCGCGACTGCGCGACTGCGTAAATTAAAGTCCTTGCTCGCGGATCTGATCAGTATTTCCGAAAATCGTCCCCTACAAACAAACAAAGTTAGAAACTTTACATCTTTATATTATTAGTATTGATAAATGCCATGGCTACAGATAATAATCTATTGGGTACATGCACTTTACATATTTTTAGGAAGATTTATAGACAAATAAAACTAAAACTTACACTAAGCGCTCTGTATGCATTCGTGCATCTGTGCATCAGAGGCAGTGGTAGGCCAAGTCTGCGTAACGTCATAATTTTTTGAAATATTCGTTTCTTTGGAATCCTATTAGTAATTTTCGGAGAGATACAATATGCCTTAAGGTGATATGTTATTGGGGATGATGACTGGGTAAAAAAAAGAAATTTTATTTAGTCCGTCACTCAGATAATAGAAAAATATTAGATATGTTATTAGTAATACATTTTTTTCCTTCAATTTACTAAGAAATGGCTCATTATGGTCTCTTTAGATAATAGACATTAAAGTTGAGGGGTAAGAGCCTCGCTACGCCATAGTTATGTAGAAAAACAAAAAATATACGTGTTTTACATTTTTCAATAAACTACCTGACGAACAAACAAATAAAAATTAGTTGTCATTCCTATTCGTCCGAGTAGTATGATAGAGACGCAGGAAGGGGCTGCTATTTTTCATAAAATGACATTAATAAATAATAATAATTATTAAAAATATGAAAACGATGAGACGTACTAAATATAACCGCCGATTAACTCGAGCATTTAGACGACCCGTTTTCGTAACCTTGTTTCTGCAGACGCCGGCAATAATCTAGATATGTAAAGTCGCTTTGGAGACTTAATTGACATTTACTGTGTTGCCAAGTTTTTACAATTCTTAAATAGTGATGTTTTATTGAGTCAGGTTTCTTTTTAATTTTAATTAATTATTTAAAATTAATAAAAAAGAAAAATATTATCTCAATATAATATTAATGATATATTGTTGATTATGAAAATTAATCAAATCGTCCCGTTCGTTAACAAGTTATTAATTTGTAAGTGCAAATAATTAAAAGTTATCACTGCTAATTTGTTTTTTTATAAAATAGGTATAGCTAAGAACCACTCAATAAATGAAGCTCGAAATAACAAATCTCATTCAAATAGGTTCATTCGTTCAGGAGCTACGAATGTTACCGACAGACAGACTTTTTTTGTATCGGGTGTTAAATCGGTAAAATAAGACAATTTTACTTACTAATAAACCTTGCTCAATAAAATAATTCAATATTATTCTAAACGCCACTACAGTATGAAGTCTGCTTACTTGTTTATTATAGTTTTAAGAAACTGAATATTTTTATTCGCATTGGGCCAGCGTGGAGGGTAATGGCCCATCCTCCTTAACTATCCATAAGGAAGGCCTGAGCCCTTGCAGTGGGGACGTAAAAGGGCTGGTGATGAAATGAATGATGATGAATATTTTTATTAGGAAGGAAAATATTGTTTTGTCATAATCATGATCGTCCTCAGTATATTAATACCCCCACTACATGGAGAATAGGCCATCCCTATGGATGAAATTGTATCGAATTGGGAGAATGGGTAGTGCTCATCAGACAGGCCCAGTGTGGATCGGAGGGTAGGAATATCATGTAGCCATCTTATGAATGGTCCTTATCGATACCAGTATCATAAAGATTTAAATGTTTGTATCCAACAGACTGAAAATACTGGACCGATTTTGAAAATTCATTCATCTACGGGTAGCTTCATCATAGGCGGGTGACATAGGCTAAGCTAGTTTATATTAATTATATAAGTAATAGATCCTGTCGATTAAAAATTGTTTTTAAGCTCTGTCTCTGTTAAAAAATTACGATTCATTTAATTTCAACGAAAATTACCGCTTTTATCCAAAATATCGGTTTTCTATCAACACTGCTCAAAAAAGCTGGTATTACTATTTCTAAATTTGACATTTGCATGTGTCAATTTAGTCTCTGAGATTAAAAAACAGATAAAGGAAACTTTTGCCTAGTATTTTGCTTTTGATAGGATAACACACTGCAGAATTAGATAAAAGATGAGATTTTTTAAAATTCTACAATTGATACAATATATATACAGATTTACTGGATTCAGCTTATTTGGTTTACACAACCCTTTAAAGCCTTAATCTTAATTTAAAGATAAAATATAAAGTTGAAACGTTGAAAACAGTTATTGATCTGGAAAAAAATAATAATTTTATTGTACTTCCTAGTACTGATAATATTTATCATAAAACAGATACAATCTCATTAAGACAATCCAAATATTTAACCAAGCAAAGGTTACAAAAATCTCCACTGGTTATAATCGAATAATTTCCAAGTGTCAATTGTATTATCAGTAAAATAACTTACTACGTCTGACTATTTGTTGTATAAACTAACCAGTCGAGTTTATAATTAGCTCTAAAAAAAACTGGGTGGGTGTCAGTATAGATTCACGCGCGAACGCGCAAACAGGCGCTGTGATAGTTTACATCAACAAATGCGGAAGGAACAGCGCATACGCAGTTTGTTTACAAACAAGAACCTTTTTTATTTACATTCTTGCACGAGTCTTTCTATTAAGTAAGTACGAATCTTTTTATTTTCAATATATCATCATATGTGTTGATGGGTTAACAAATATAGTTCAAATTTAAGATTCTGTTTGTCGCTGAGAACCTGTTTTTAGTCATTCTCTCTTTTGAAGTGTAAACAAATTCTGACACGTGCGGTCTTTCGAGTATAAACAAAACTAGTATTAGTAATAAAAACTCTATAGCTTTGAACTCTTTCGATTTAAAAAACTCAAACTTCTTTTGTTTAAAATCTATTGTCGTATTTTGGTACAAGAAGTAAGTATACATGATATGTATGTATAAAGTTTGTCATATTAAAAGATTTAAATACATTCTAGAAAATATTTTGTTACATTTCCAGAAAAAGAATATTGAAATAGAATTATTTTTTACCCTTTTCTTATTTTTTATCTGCATTGTTTGTATATAAGTATTTTATCAATAATAATAAATGCAAACTTGTAATTGTCGGTACACAATAGTATCTCTCCATTAACCAAGTTTAATTATTACGTAAATATTATCTATTATGTTTGTTTGACACATATCATAAAGTGCTGTGATGACTTCATAATCTGAAGTCAGTGCTACGTTTGATTTAAAGGTCATCCATTTACCAACCTAATATGTATCACCTCGACGTTCATTGCGATTCGACTTTTTATTCAATTAGGCAACACTTGACGGAAGTGTTGAATTGATTCGAGATATGAATGATAATTTGCTTTTTTTTTGTGTACGTCTATGGTTTTTTATTTTCTTTATCACAAAACAAAGACTCCCGAAAGAGTGATTGACATTTAACCACGACAGAATCGGAACAATTAAACGCTTAGACGTATCTCGTTTTCCTTTAAATTGTTTCACTTTTTTATTATAAGTTTAATGAAAGTATCTATCTACAGAACAAATAATAACTCAGTAATGCATTTAGTTTCTCGCAACAATTCTTTCGCTTCGGTTGACTCCTTCGGCCCGAAAACTAGGTCTAAATATCTTTGTTTTGTTCACCGCTGTCGATTTTTCCCGCTGAATAGTTTGCGGTCATCAGAATTTAAAAATAGACCTTGCCCTATATGTTTTTTTTTACTGGTGTATTTTTAATATGTAATAACAAGCAATGACATGCTTTCCTTTAGCAAATATAGAATGGACATCAGTACTATAGTTAAAAATACTTTAACGAGGTTTTTTTATAGAAAAGGTGGTGTGATTGTAAAAGTATGTAATTGTCCTTTTGTACTATTTTGTACACAATATTTTTTACTAGACTGCTCAAAATAGCAAAATGCTGCACTGATCCGAATCCCAAAGTTTTGGCCCAAATTGATCAGTGGCGCTCATTGAAACGAATGAACGAAAGAATGAACTGAGTAGAACCACTAAAAAAGATTTGGGCGACATCGACTCGCGTCGCGTGTCGCTGTCGGTAACAAATGGGCTTACTTGTCGGCCAGGTAGCGGCTATATTTGTTTATTTACTGGTTTTACTTGATATTTGTTTTAGAATTATATATTAGGATAAAAATTTAGAATGCAAATACGGATTTTATCATTAAATTAATAAATTGCATTAAGAATGTATAAAACAAATTAATAGAACATTACGAAAATAGTATTAATAGTTGTTTTTGTAGCGCGAATTATCATTCGTCAGGCTATGAAGGAGAATCGATTCGATTTTAAGTGTATTTTGAAACTTCATAATAATTAAAAAATTAAAAGTGTTATTTTGTTTTTCTTGATACGAGAATATTTTATTATATTTTTAAAACAAACATTCCATATCAAAGGTTAATGAAAATGCATTAGGTAATTATTAAATAACTGCTCTTTGCTCTTGAATCTATCTGAGAATCGATGATCCAAATGATTCAAACGAAACATAGATCTTTGCATTGATTCCGATGCAAATGATCCAATCTTTAGAAAGATACGTTTTTCGTAGTTCTAGTTTGAAAGACGTAATGGATGAATGAATAAATACTTTATCGTACACCGCAAATAAAAACATGGACCATTAAAAAGTAATTTCTTCCAGGCAACTGTATGTTATACTGGATTGACTTAAATAACTAATGGGTAGTATATGGTGCATTACAAAGTGAACAAAATTATTTTCACTATTATTATTAATTAATATACTCAATACAGATATACATATACATTTACATAGATCATGTACATGAGAAATCAGGTAGTGTTCCTTAACAATTCTTTTAAAAAACATCTAAAATTAGCGCGCATCTTATTTCAATTAGCAAAGCATAGGCGACTGCCTGAACAGAAAAAGATTTATCACATTTCTGTGATTTGGTTTTGGCATATCTTACCTTAGGTTCTCTGACAACCTCAAATTGCGAGCGAGAGTGTCTTTAAGGAAATTAAAACGTTCCTTAAGATAGCTTGGTGATGAAGGATTAAACAGGATACTGTATAGAAGGGAAATCATATGATTGCATATGCATTCCACTGAAAACTAATTGACAACCACTGGAGTTTGATTATACTTAGGGATGCCAAATATGAATCTGATACAGAGGTTTTGGAGACGCTCCAGTTTGTTTAGTTGTTGTTCATTAAGCCCTTAGTAGTATCGGCATAAATCAAGAAATGGATTTTGAAGCTATTTGCCTATACCCAAAGACCTTAGAAATTTCCAGAATGTTGTGAATAAATTGGATTCATGAGTTGGACTGTTTCACTGCTAGTTTCACCATCATTGCTGGAAATTTGGGACAGTAAACAACTGCTATTATTGCTTCATCATACTTGAGAATAGTTTTATAAATAACACCATGAATAGAAACTTTTGTAAATAACAACATCTATACTACCAAACAGTTACCATTAACATTTGATTACTAAGCTTTGCTTCAGGGCAATGTTGTGGCGTTTGTCGTGGTACCAACCGTTGCATTTTTCACACACAGTTATCGTAAAGAATGAATTTTTTGTCACATGTCATAATTATACTCAATATTCCTTGAGGCAACTCAACTTTCATTGCGAGTTTCTTGCTGGAAATAAGGCACTCATTATTTAAATAGTTTTTTTATTTATTTACGGTAGAGCTCCAGCACAGAAATTGTAATGAAAATGGGATGAAAAAAATTAAGGATAATGTAAGTAAAATTTTCCAAGGTTTGTGAGTAATATAAGTAAAGGTGCTATTTGGAAAGGTAATCTAAGCAACTAAATTGACGCTTATTATCATGCTAATATCATTAACCTTCCATCTGGAGTACAAGAAATAGAATTACTGTTAATAAATTTAGGTAAATAATTTTTTTGGGCTATAAAACAGAAATTAGCTAAAGCTCTTAGTAATTATAATTAAGTATTCAAGTTTTAAATATACATTTAAATACTTTGGAGAAGCTTGATGACGTAATGGCTGGCGCATTCGTGCTGCAATCTCAAAGGTCGGTTGTACATAGGAAGGGTGACCAAAAGTTGTTATCGAGATAAAAACTTTTGGTCACCTTTTGTACTTTGGAAGGCACGATAAGCACTTGATCCCAGCTGTATCTACAATCATAAACACCCATCATTCTGCACTAGGCATTCAAGGGGGGTTGTAGCTCGTTCCGCCTTTCTGATACGTTTCCATAGGGATGACCTGTACCCCTGAAATGGGGGCTTAAATAGACTTATATATGACATAAAAGTATGTTTTAAAAACAAATAACATTGCAATGTTATTTGAAAAAAGGGAAAAAGGAATTGATTCTAAGAGACAAATTAAATTCATCTATATGTTGTTTCTAAGGAAAGAAAACAGGTGGCTCTATACTCGGCATCTCTTCTTTCTTTGCATACTACATTTATTATGAATTCTTTTTTATTGTTCTTAAAATATACTTCCCATTCCTTCCCTGATTCGCGCGGTTCCCCGTGAAAATTTCATTATTATATTCGAGTTTTAAATTTTCAAAGTCATTGTCATCCTATCTCGTATTATATCGTATTGAAATGTACTTTAATAGCGACTAACAAATGATAAAAAATAATGATTATGGATTTGACAGCATTGTCACCGATCGTTTATCCATAGAATGACCAATAAAAGACATGTCAAAGTAGTAATATGAAACTAAATATCGCCATATCATCGCTAAGATATCGTATCCTATGGCTACATCATTTTACGAAATGATTCTAGCCATAGCTAGAGAATTAGGACTCCCTAGAACATTCGTTTAAGAACCACCAGTCTAAATCATAGAAACTTTATAAATCGACACCGCTTTTTAAATTCTTAAGTTTATTAGTACTTAGGAATAGGAGATGGTACAATTTCATACTGTTTTGTATTGGCATAACTAAAACAAATCTTATAAATTATTTTATCATAGAAATCCAAAATTTAATATCATTTCAATATCCGATATAAAAGTCTTTTTAGATAGGATAAATTTCTATATGCGATGTGTTTATAAACGATATCAAATAACCCAACTAGAAGTAATGGTAAAGAAAATACAATTTTAACATGTATACGTACACATTGTGCTCTTTTACATTTTTCAGAGATTGCGAATCGTTTTTAAACTAGAAGTATATGTGTATGTATATAGAAATAAGTGACTAGTAAAAACTACAAAAACTGACTGCCTTTTTATAACACTCAATATATTCGGTATAAATTATATCAAGGTCTCTATTAGTTGGAACATTCTAATCGGTACTTATAACAATAAGTTTGCAGTGTTTGTAAGTGATACGGATATCAATGGGATCCAGGCATAGTATTGAATATCGGAAACCAAAAGACTACGTAACCACAAGGGTAAGAATCAAATTACACCACGAAAGTTTTGTATTTCTTTCTACTTACAACTAGTTTAGTGAAAAAAAAGGTAAGTTCAAATAACTTGTAGTTAAAAAATACTATTTCATATTTCTAAGTGGTTTTTTTAAGCGTGATGTCATGTCAGTAGCTGATAAAATTCACCATTTGTTCGATTTAACGGAAGATATAGGTACTTTCTAAAGGTATATTAG